AAGGGAACTGATGGAGGTATGAAGGGGGGGGGAGATCCTAATGGGGTCAGTGTGGCGTATCGAGATGAAAATTAGTGGCCGCAATGAATCGAGCGCAGGACCCCTATATCGCAAATATCGATGCGCGGCGTAAGAGTTACGATCAATTTTTCATTACTTTTCAGGTGCGCGCCGAAGTAAAGCTGGTAGTAATTATCCGAACGACTGGAGGGTACGGAGGAAAAAGCCAACCTATGGGTCCATATACGCGGTATCGGTCGTTTCCATCGGACGCAAAAAAGACCGGGATTTAACTCCGTTCGCGGCTCTAGTGCAGTTTACGGCCCCAGGAATTTTACGCTGTACGGCAAAAAAAAAAAAAAAAGAAAAAAAAAACTTTTAGTTTTTCATTTGAATAAATAAATAAAAGAAAGGCACCAGCGAGAGAATCGTGATATTACTGCAGATGAAAGTTAGTCCCTGCAATAACTCTGGCGCGCTTCGCTACACGTGTCTGCTCTTGGATATGATTCTCGCCGAAACACGCGCTGCACCAGCAGACTCTGATAAATTAGTTTTAGTTCGAACAGATTAGCTTGTTCTGCTCTGATACTCGCATCTCTCTCTCTCTCACTGCAAAGCAAAACACCGTCATTTCATAAAAAAAACGAGACCCATCACAAAACCCTTGAATTCGCCCATCTCTTTTTTTTATTCATTAAAACATCTATCGGATGGAGTCCATTTGAAGCGAATATCCGATCACTTTTCCTCCAAAAGCCAGGGAGACGCGGGAGTTCTCGGGTTTCCCAAAGCTTTTCTCGTGTCGCCAGCTGGCGCGAAGCGTCGATTTTCCTGGGATTATTAGAAATCGAGAAACCCGAGCGCCCCGAAAGGCGTGCGACAGGGCTCGCGTTACAGGAAAAAAAAAAGAATAACCTTTGATCGCTGGCGTGGAATCCAGGGCGTCGCTTTTATATACTTTTCATCCATTTTCCTACAAAAAAGAGCAAAAAGTATGCGAGCGTTTCCTAATTTCGCCGAAAATTTGGGGGAAGGAACGATCATTGGCAGCCACTCCACGGCAAAAGGAATATCCCGTTTCCCCGTCCGAATTCTCGGCTCCTCGTACGAGGGCCAAGGGGTGCGAGCACACATATATCCAAGAGCTTTTCAATTATCTCGGATGCACGTACAGCAGCCGGGCAAACTTTGGCGTACGGAATCAAGATGTAAAAGCTTATTTAACCGGGGAGGGGCCGCTATCTTTGCTTTGGATCTTTCCCGAGGAGCGAGGGTAGGGGTACGTGCAGCCGGTCGATCCTGGGGAATTAGACGGTGGCCGGCGGCAAATATGAGGGACGATTTTTGTTATTTCGCCTCGGCAAACTCTCCGGCGCCCTCGAGCGATTGGCTCGGGAAAAACGACTTTTCGGCGAACGGGATGGAAAAAGTGGGAACGACCGTATGGGAAGAGCAAAAATAGGAAACGAGGGACGTCAATTGGCCATTCACGCAACGAAATCCAATACGCCGGTCTACTCCCACGATTTTTCCGATACAGAAGCCGTAGGGATATCCAAGCATACGCGTGTCCACGTGTAAATGGTGGCGGTAGCGATTTTCCATTCCAGCCTGACTCATGAAACTCGTTTATGATCCGTATCTCTCCCGAATGAACCAACTAACACTTTGAGCGTTAAATTACTCAGTATTTCGCTATTTGGAAAAAGAGTACTCCCGTTAAAAACAATTTTGTTACATTGCTATATTCTTAGGGAAAAAAATAAGACTATAAAGTATCAACTTGACCTATGTAGTTTGAATTTCCCCCCGAAACACGATACTTTTATTTTCCCTACGGCACATATTTTCTGCTTGTGGCGGCGAGGCTCGTTACGAAAGACACATTCTTCGGCAACAAAGCCGGAGAGAGAAAAAAAAAACAGCTCGTCTCTCAACTAACCTACTTGCAAAAATAATTCGGGGGAGCCACAAATCGGACCCCCCCCCATCCTCGGTTGTTGCTCTATACCCTTTTCAATACTACGTACCGACATAATAGCAAAAAAGCGTAGATCGATTCTTGGCAAGGAAATACGCGCGTATGTACAGCAGCAGATAGCAGCTATAGTCGGACGAAGAAGAAGAGGAGCTGTGCTCGGGAACCCCCGAGAGGATAGCTTGTTCTCTCGCACGACTTGCGCGAGTATACATAAGCTCCTTTCCAGAGATGACTCCGGGGGAACGAGCAAATATAACGACGACCAACGGGGGAGAATCGTTTGAGCGTGTATTCAAGTTTGCGCCTGTAAATTCCGGCTGCTGACTCGACGGCACTGCGCTGCGTGTCTACCCTGTGCGGGTATGTACACCCCATCTCTTTCAATTGAAGCGATAATGGTTTGCCACCGCATCACCGCCGAGACATTGTCCCGTGAAAAATTACACCCGCGCTATGAGCCAATGTGTCACTCACCTCTTTTTGTGCGGCCTGTTTTTTTTTTGTTTTTTTTCTCCTCCGTGTAAAACTTTACGCCTCTGCTGCACCTTGTACACATACACGTATATATATTTTTTATCTCGCGACCCGCGGAAAGATATTGCCGTGGCAGTCGTCGATGTAAAAAAAAAAAAAAAAAAAAAAAAAACTTTTGCCAACTTTCACCCGCACCACCCTACATTTATACACTCACTTTTGCCACACCCGCAGCTTTAATATTCTTTCGGATCGAGATGTTGTTGTCGTCAGTTTCCCCGAGAGTCCTCTTTGCTCCGATTTGATTTGAACCGATGAGCTCTTAAAAATACACTCGAATCCTTCCTTCCCATTGAATTTTCAAGTACTTCTCGAAAAAACAAAAACAGCGAGAAAAAGTACCTCTAAGATGGCTGTTAATCTCGGAAAAAACGAGCAGGAGGGAGCAAACAAAGGTATATATATATACATTTATAAGGGTACGGATACGAGTGTCACGGTGCGAGTTAACATTTGGCTTATCTGAATTTGGCGGTCCCCCATGGAGCGCCCAGTATCGCCAGTCTCGCGTAGCATATCCGTATTCTCGGGCTAACAACGCCATCCTGTATATGTATAAGGTAAAGCTCATCATCTCGACTGTCTCCTCTCGTTCACTTCAGAGCGTAACATCTCGGCTGTCCGGAGTTGGCTCGCACAACGG